TATCCCACCTGTAGGAGGTTATGGAGAAGGAGATGAATGGTCTCCACTCATCCCTAATCTCCACGGGCCACGAGTATAGGAACCTGATAAGCGCCAAAAGACCAAATTGGTTCAGACCTGTTCACAGTGAGTGACCACCAAGGCCTCTTAGAAAAGTAAAAGGAGACTCTCAGCTTCAGTGACCCAACTGAGCCTTGGCCTCTGAGCACACAATGGCTTTCTTCCTCTCTGTCTGCTGTCAGGCCACTGTCATAATAAGTGCACATCAGACAGGAATGAGCTTTAGGTGTTGTAAGTACCATTTCTGCATGGACCCACAGAGGAGTCTGGGGGCTCGGAGCCTTTCCAGCAGGCTCCCACCAGCCTTCCACCTCTCTCCTCTCTCTCCCGCTACTGCTCCAGTCAAAGATGGTGCCCAAGATGGCTTTTTCCTTACTTCAGTTTTGCAAAGTTCCCCTCTGCTGTGGTGACTCTCTCATAATCCTGCCTTTTCCTCCAGTTCTCAAATATTCTGACCTGAAAGGTAGCTGTGCTGAGGAAATAATTTCCCCACTTTACCACAGGACAAACTGAGGCCAGAAGCAAGGCGATGGTTTATCCAAGCTTCCAGTTGGGCATCTAATGGAGTACCTGGAACAACTTCAAAGTCAGCTATCATAAATGAATGAATGAATGAACAAATGAATGAAAGGGAAGGAGAGAGGGAGGGGAGAAGAGAAGGATATCAGCATCAGCTGATGTTATTGTCTGGATGTGGTCAGTGGCCAGTTTGACTCAGTCTCAGATCCACGGAAGGCTTCAGAGAAGGTGACTTAAGACAGAAAGATTGTGGGGAATAGACAGTGTCTCGTCATCTCAACCCTTAATTCCAGAATTAAGTTAGGGGTAGGCCAGCCTGGAGGTCCATAGCAACTCCTCCCTGGGATGGGGTGGTATGGGGAGGGCTGCAGTTAAGGGTGACGGGGGAGCCAGGCTTCCCTCACTGAAGGCCATACAGCTGCCTTTACTGACTGGGACTAAGAGGGGAGGGGAAGGAGACACCAGAAATCCAACCAGAGTTGGTAGGGAGGTGGGCAGAACCTCCCCGGGCTGCCAGCATGCGGTGGCTGGGGTCAGGCAGAGGAGGCAACATCAGCAAAGAAGGCTGATGGGACAATCCCTAGCATTAGATGGGAAACTGCCCCTCCTGGGACCTCCCCTGCTAGCCTGGTTATTGATGACCTGCAGCCCCTGAGGAATACTGGGCTCTAGGGTTATGGGAGGCACTCTCTCCTTGGAACAGAGGAGGGGATGAGCCCATTCTCCTCTAGGCATCTGGTGAGTATTAGGTAGGGACTAATAATAAAAATTGAAGAACTATAAAACTCAGCTATAAAGGACATTATCCATTATCCATATTCCCAATTGGGGAAATTTTAATATGGTCTGTATGGTAGATGATAGTATTGTATCAATGATAGGTTTCCTAAGTGTGATAGTATTAAGAGAATACCTTTGTTCTTAGGAAGATATATGTTGAAGTATTCAGGGGTAAAAGGTCATGATGTGTACAACTAACTCTCAGATGGTAGAGGAAAAGAATGATATGTTATAACATATTATATATAATACACTAAAAGATATGTAAATATATAAAAATATACACAATATATAATAGAAATAGGTAACATAAATATATAACATAATGTAATATAATATAATAGATATTATATAGGTGTAAAGACAGAGAGAGAGCAAATGTGGCAACCATGTTAACAACTGGTAAATCTAGGCAGAGTATATGGGTGTTTAATGCACTGTTTTTTGCAACTTCTGTCAGTTTGAAATTTTCTTTTTTTTTTTTATGATTTTATTTATTTGTCAGAGGAGAGAGCACAGCAGGGGGAGTGGCAGGCGGAGGGAGAAGCAGGCTCCCCACAGAGAAGGGAGCCCAATGCAGGACTCGATCCCAGGACCCTGGGGATCATGACCTGAGCCGAAGGCAGACGCTTAACCATCTGAGCCACTCAGGCATCCAGTTTGAAATTTTCAAAATAAAAGCTGGGGGGGGGGGGGGGAATTTGAGGGAAGAAGAATAGCTATCATTTATTGAACAATGACTGGATCCTAAAATTTATGTAACTCTATTATCCGATTTCATCCTCAGACCAACTCCAAAGAGAGACGTTATGATTCACGTATTAGAGGAAAGGAAACGGAGTCCCAGGGAGGCTAAGGAGCTTGCTCCAGTTTACAGAGCTGGGACTGAGACAGAGCCCAAAGGAAGGGGGAGGTCACAGGGAGGAGTGCGGTGGGAAGACTAGGGGCTAACACTTCTTTGAGCCTTTCTGTATGCTACAGCGTTTTAAACTCATCCATGCACATGAACTCACTTAATCCTCTCTTCCTAAAAGCTTTGTACTTTGTGATAAATCACTTAATTGGTGTGGTGGGAGGGAACAAAGAGGCACTCAAAACACACTGATCGAAGTGTAGGTGGGTGCAGTCTCCTCTGAGGGCAACTTGGCTGCATCTATTGAAATTTAAAATTCATATTGTGTTTAGAGCCAGCAATTCCACTTCTAAATATTAATCCATAAAGATAGCCATAAATGTGGACCAAGAAGTATGTACCTAGACATTCACTGTAGCAAGCATGTAATATCTAAAGTTTGGAAACATCCTAAGTATCCATCATTAGGAACACTAGGGGACCTCTAAAAAAAGTAAGGCATCTCCAAGTGTGCTAATATGCCACACAGAGTCAACAAATGGTAATGTCAAGAGAAAAAAAGCAAGGGATGCTTCCTTAGTGTTGAAAAGGGGATATAAATAGGTACATATAAATATATTTAAAGTTGACCCTTGCACAATGCCAAGGTTAGGGGCACCAACATCCATATAGTAAAAAATCAGTATAACTTTGACTCCCCCAAACCTTAACTAGTAGCCTACTGTTGACCAGAAACCTTACTGATAACACAGTTGATCAGCACATAGTTTGTATGTTACATGTACTAAATACTGTATTCTTACAATAATACTGAATTTTTCTTAATTTTTTTTGGTATTTCTAGGTATGTGGTTCATCAGCAAGTTTTTTGAAATTGTTGCAAATCTCCAAAAAAAATTCAAATATATTTATTGAAAAAGATCCATGTAAGGGCTCAGTTGGTTAAGCATCCGACTCTTGATTTTGGCTCAGGTCATGATCTCAGGGGTGTGAGATCAAGCCCTGCACTGGGCTCTGTGCTCACTGGGGAGTTTGCTTGAGATCCTCTCTCTCCCTCTCCCTCTACCCCTCCCCGCCTTAAAAATAAATAAATCTTTAAAAAAAGAAAGAAAAAGACCTATGTATAAGCGGAACTGTGTAGTTCAAATCCATGCTATTCAAGGGTCAACTGTATATGTATTTATGCATATTTTATGCATAAAATATCTTTTGTGTTTGGGGAGGAATGATCTGGGCGACAAGGGCAGGATGGGAGGTAGACATTTTTCATCGTTAGCACTTCCATATTATTTGAAATGTATGTGCATGATGAGCTATTCAAGGTGAATGAAGGCATGAATGAATGAATGAATCACCCTTAACCAACTCCAGAAGATTTGCTTTTGGGCTACCTAAGGCATCTTCCTGAGTGTTAAAGGGATAGCAGAGGCCAGTGTCCCACAGTCTGGGGTTGATCTATCTCAATCCCCAGGAGCTATGAATCCATTTGCAAGTTCAGCCCCTGGAGTCCCATTGGCCCAGTTGAACTTTTGCCCTTGGCTTCCTGAACTATTGGGACCAGCTTTCTAAAGTATCTGTGCTCTCAAAGTTATGCCTGAGAATTGTCTGGGGAGCTTGTTAACTGGGTAATCTAGCAGCCTCACCTCCAGAGATTCAAATTCAAACTTGGGGTGGAGCCAGGGGAATCCTTCATCAAGGCCTGGAGTGAGTCTTCCAAAGCCCCTTTGGAGAAATGGGCCCTGGTGGTGTTTGCCTCTGTTCATTCAGCCTGGACAGAGAGCCTGTAGGATTGGGGAAGAAAGCACTTTTGAAATGTGGATCATTCCCTGCAATATTCTCTATATTCATCTTCTTTACCAAAAGTTGAGTGTTCCAGGGGCGCCTGGGTAACTCAGTCGCTTAAGCGTCTGCCTTTGGCTCAGGTCATGATCCCAGGGTCCTGGGATGGGGCCCCTAATCAGGCTCCCTGCTCAGCAGCAGGGAGTCTGCTTCTCCCTCTCCCTCTGTGCTTGCTCTCTCTCAAATAAATAAATAAAATCCTTTAAAAAATAAATAAAATAAAATAATCTTTAAAAACACGACTCTTAATGGCTGTGTAACCTTCTATTGTGTGGGTAGATCCTTCTCCCCGCCCGCTCGTGCTTTCTCTACCAAATAAATAAATAAAATCTTTAAAAAAAAGTTGAGTGTTCCAATCTCCTCTGGGTGTAGGATTGTACTGGTGAGCTGAGGGACGGCAAGTCCTTGAAGAACAAGGGTGAGCAGACCTCTGAAGCTGCCCAAGCGGTCTCTTTCGTTGGCCTTCTGGCTCCTTGGCCGGCTCCCTTCTCATAAATAATGCATATTCATGCATACACACATACATACATACATACATACATTAGCAAGCAAGTTACCCTCTGGGTTGTGGTGACTTTTTTCCCCCCAAATTACAAATCAGTGCATTGGTCTGGCAGTGGGACAGACTGTTGGAAATAAGGACTTCTCCAAATATCCCGGCCTTACAGTTCTCACAGGTTGCCAGCAAATGCGGGACCCTCCTCGGGGGGCGGTGGGAAGGTCTGGTCTTGCGCCCCATTCTGCGAGGGTCCCACGCCCGCCGGGGGCTGGACGGGTCTCGGGGCACCCGGCCGCCCTTCGCGGCAGCGGGTGCGGACGCCCGCGGAGAGCTCGGGGCGGGGGCCGGGAGACCCCGCCGCCCTCCCCGCCTGCCCCCGGGACAAGCCCAGCGGTGCGGAGAGGTGGGAGGCTGGAGCCTGCTGAGGTCATTTCCTGTGCCTCTCCCCGAGCCGCCCGAGGAACCGCGCGGGCGCTCGGCCTTTAAGGAGCCGGCGGGGAGGAGGGGGGCGGCGCGGCGGTGAATGGGGTGCCGCGAGGCCCGGCTCGGCTTTGTGCGGCCAGCCCGCCGGCACCCCGCGCGGCCCCCGCCTCGCCTCGCCTCGCCCCGCCCTGCCCCTCGCGACCCCTGCTGCCGCCGAGCGGAGACCCGGCGGCCGCCGCGGAGTCGGGCTAGAAGGACGCAAGGTCAGCGGCGGAGCGCGCGGAGGGCGCCCGGGTGCCGGGTGGGCGGCGGGAGGTTGCGCGGCCGCGCGCGCCCGGCGGGCAGGGACGGGCTCGGAGGTGTGCGCCGGCCCCGAGGGCTTTGGCGGGGCGGAGAGGACGGCGTCTCTCCGGCCGCGGGGCGATCCCGGAGCAGGTGCCTCCCCACCTGGCGCTGGGGGCGCTGGCAGCCGCGGTCGGGCTCGGGGGACCCGCAGCGCGCGGCGAGGAGTCGCCTTCCTCGGGAGGAGCGAGAGTTTGGGACCGGCTGGAGCCAGTTGCCCCCGGGAAGGGCCCTCGGGCGCGCTTGCCGGCTTTACTCCGCGGTGCCTGGGCTCCCGCTCGCTGTCCCCGCTCCCGCTCTCCTCCCCGCCTGGCTCAGGTAATCTCTTCTGTGATTTCGCGGTGGTTCTTTCAGGGATTCTGTTGGGTCAGGCTCGGCTTCTAGGGGCAGGTCAGCCAAGCAGAAAAGAAAAACAAGTTGGGCACTGAGTGACAAGCAGGAGCTTTGTGTCCTGGGAGCCTGAGAGAGGACTGTGTCACCAGGGACCAGGAAGACTTAATGGGGGTGGCAGAGGCAGTGAAGACCCGCACTTGGGAGTGGAATCCCTGTTGGATTTCTCCCTGCCAGGACATCTCTATAAGCTTTTACTGTGAGTCTATCTCATAAAACTCTTTTGGACAGCCTTCGTTTCAGGTAAAATTTCTGCTTGAAAGATCATTTTATTACCAATTTGGAAAAGTCGTGGGTTCCTTCATCAGGCTTTTTGGACTGTCTTCTCCGTGCCAGACTCTGTGTATGGTAATGTCACTTAAGACTTTATAGAACTTCAGTTCTAGTGTTTCTGCATGTTATTGTCCTCCATTTTACAAAGGAGGAAACAGACCTGGAAAAATTGTGATTTACCCAGAGTCCTATAGCTAAAAAGTGGAAGAGGCAAAACTCAAACCCAAGCCTCCTAAATTCCAAATGCGGGGGCCACTGTTAGCCACCTTCCCTCCCACAGGCTGCTGAGGGGACCTGCTTAGAGCTGGGTGATGGCGGGGGACACCATGTGGTCTCAAACTCATTGAGACCAGCAGCTGAGTTGAGAAAATGTGGTGCCCCTCTGCCCTCTTCAGAAGTCAGGGGAAGAAGCGTGTACCTCCTACTCTGCTCCCCCATGGTGCACTCCTCTTTACTATTCCCTTCTCTCTATGAGGTTATGTATCCATGTGGGGAGCTCTGGGCTCCTTATGGTTTGAAGTGTGCTTTATACATGCTGATGTTAATGTGTGGAGGATTCCCTCACTCCTGATCTGGGTGAGTTCACAGCAGGCTGGCTGTTGAGCCACCGTCCTGCATTCTCTAGAGAGCCCAGCTGAGCTTTCTCTCCCTTCTGTCAAATTCAAAACTGACCTCCTCCATGGGCAAACAGACACTGATTGCTGGCTGGAGTATGAATTCGAATAGTCTTGGGGAAGGCAATTTAGACTATTTGGCCATTTAAAAATGTGTATCACTTAATCCTACAATTCCATTTCTGGGACTTTATCCTTCAGATATACTCCGATGCATGTGAAATGATATATATTTGTTGCAACATTGTTTGTTTTAGCAAAAGGTTTCAGACAACCCAAATGTCTGTCAGTAAGGGACTCTTAAATAAAATCATGTAATACCTACACAATAGAATACAGTATAGTTGTTAAAAAGCATGGAGGGAAGATAGGTCAGGTATGTATGCTGGTATAGGACGATCTCTCAGTTACAGGTTAAGTGCAGTGTGTATGGTGGGCCGCCATTTGTGTTTGTGTGTGTGCATGCAACATACATGGGAATGCTTGTGTCTGCACCGGATATCTCTGAAAGACGTAAAACCCCATAACACAGTTGCCTCTGGGGAGAACTGTGGCTGGGGTACAGCGGGGGAAGAAGCCTTTGTACTACATACTCTTTTGTTCAGTATTCAAAAATAAAGAGATAAAATAATTTTTAAAAATCTCCTGCCCTTTCTGAGGTGGATCTGGTAGTGACCACATCTGTGGGCCACATCTCCTGGTATGCCCAGGCACTGGTAATTAGTTTGCCTTTTCATTGTTGACAGTAACTATCATTATTGAGTGCTTACTGTGTGCCAGGCTTTTGTAATACCTCCTGTAATTCTCAAAAAAAAAAAAAAAAAAAAATACAACCTAGTGTGGTCTATGAACTTGCCATTTTTCTTTAAAGATTTATTTATTTATTTGAGAGAGAGGGAGCCTGTGCAAGTAGGGGGAGGGGGCAGAGGGAAAGTATCTTCAAGTGGACTCTCAGATGAGAGCAGAGCCCAGATGGATGCGGGGCTCAGTCTTACAGGCCGTGAGATCATGACCTGAGCTGAAACCAAGAGTCGGACACTTAACTGACTAAGCCACCCAGCTGCCCCTGAAATTGCCATTTTTGAAGGTCAGAAAAATGGTTAAATGTTGATAATTTCATGTGTTTCAACCTAATATTATTGCCCTCCTTTTCAAATATTATTGCTCTCAACTTCAAAATGGCGCTGAGGCTCAGAGAGGTTAAGCAAATGGTTTAAGGTCACAAGATTAATTAATGCCAGAGCCAGTCCTCAAACCCAGGCTTGTTTGGTGCCAGAAGGGGGGATCTTAAGTACCGTACTCTGCTGTTTCTCTTTACTGGTTTTGTTCTCAAAGGATCCTATTCCTGATTGTCTTAGTCCCTTCTGGTATTTAGATCCCTGAAGGTTGGAACATACTCACCTTTTCCTGTCTCTTCCAACATTGTGAAATGTGCTGCTCAGCACCCAAAGGTAAAACACATATTGTTGGCTTGATCAGATGACAAGGTGCGGGCAGGGGGAGCTATGCCCCTCTGTCTACTCCCCTTCCCCCAACTCCATCCTCAGAAAGGGGGCACAAAGCTCTTCCTTTCCCACAGTTGGGCAGGTGGTCAGCCTAGTCTAGCACTTTTAGAAGATGGTGGTAGCCCATCATTAGCAAGTGGAAATCACAAGAGGTCCTTACACTCAGGGAGTGAACCATGGTGAGGTGGCACGGGAGAGCCCAGTGGAAACTGTACCCAGAACAGAGTTCCTGTTACCTTGGGAAGCCTCCTGCAGTGACCTCTGACCTCTTCCTTTTAGGGTCTTGTATTGGCTGGTCCTCTTTGCAGGGAAGTTCCAGGATATACAGACTATAGACCTGAGCCTTGCAAACCATGGGATCTTTATTCATCTTTATGTCCCCATCCTTGCACAGAGGAATCACATCACAAAAGTTGGTTGAATTAAATTTAATCTCAGCATCTTGTCAATTTCTGGTCAGATCCCTACACTTGCCAAAGCCATCCCAGGTCAAGTCTGTGTTTCCTCTGATACAGGCCCAGAGTCTGAGGTCACCTAACATCACCCATCCTGCACGCAGCCCCTGCCTCTGAGGCATACTCCATCACCCTCCTTGGCTGTCAGTCCAGGATGCCGGAGGACTTAGGGAGTTCCAAAGCAGGGCCTCAGGCCGTGCAGTCATTTGTCACCTGCTGAGCAGTTTAGCATGCTGGGCACTAGTAGGAATCAAGAGAAGTGGGTTTCACAAGAGTGGCATGAGTTGATCTTGTAGCTGGGGGGGAGGGCCCATGGGGACTTACTGTACTATTCTCCCTACTTCTTGTGTGTATTTGAAACTTTCCAGAATAAAAAAATGAACAGTTGTACTGGCTTTTGTCCCTTCTCTCATTTCCCCATCTGTTTTGCCATTAATGTTCTGTGTTAGGCTAGCCAGGTAGCATGAGACTCTACCACCACCACGGCATCTGCATGGAGAGAGGATGTTCTGTATGTTGGGAGATCGGGATGCTTGGCCCAGCTCTGATACTACTTAGCTCAGTGTCTCAAGTCACAGACGTGATGGGTTTTCTCATCTGTTCATTGTGAATAATATCACTTGTCCTACATCTCAGGGATTTGGGGAGGATAAGGGGAGAAATCACACCTTCACGGTGCTTTGGAAAGTTAAAAACCATTCTGTAAATTCTTTTCTGCTCATCTTTGCACATCTTTACGGGAGGTACAAGTATGAGGTGACTTAGCAGGTGAAGCTCAATTTACTGGGATTTTGCCTTAACATCTCATGTTTTATAGCTGCTACGGCAACCACCTGCTTCTGTCGGAAGAGCCTCTGGGCCACGTGCTTGGCAGCAGGCACCTTGCTCAAGTTCCCTTTCTCATGCCCGTAGCTCTTCTCATGTCTCACATGCTGAGACAAGCCTAGCACAGGTCCAGCCCCCTCACTACATTCCCAGGGCAAGGGAGAGGCTTCAGCAGAGCACTTGATCTGTTCAACAGTGTGATGTCATAAGACGCTTGATTGGGAAAGGACTCCCTGCAGTCTGGGTATAATTTCAGATATCAGGGCTCGTCAGAGGCCACTGATGTGTTTTATTTCCAAAGCTCCTGGAGATTTTGATGATTTGGTTTTCCACTGTCCTCATGGAATCGGAGCTGCAGCTTTGACAATCAATAAGAGGGAATTAATATTCACCAAACTTTTCTGGTGATGGGTATTAAGGAGGGCACGTTCTGCATGGAGCACTGGGTGTTATGCACAAACAATGAATCATGGAACACTACATCAAAAACTAATGATGTAATGTATGGTGATTAACATAACAATAAAAAATTTAAAAAAATATTCACCAAACTCTTTTAATGCCACACAGGATTAAGTTTCCTCTGCCCCTTGGTTTTGCTTGGGTGTTTTTACCGCTAATTCTCAGCCCTGAGCTAGGTTGCAAGACTTCCAGGTCCTACTTTCAGATCTGCCACTTTTTTTTTTTTTTACCCTACGAGGAAAAGCAAAATTCCTTTAAAAGACAAAGCAAATCAAACACGATGAAGCCTCCCGGCCTTCTCTGGAGGCCCCACAAGGTTCTGTTTTGTCTTTTCAGCTGTGATCTTAGCTCAGAGAAGGTCATGTTTTGTTTTTGTCTTTTGTCTTCCTGCCCGTTCCAGTCGGTCCCAGTCTTTTGAGGTGGGGATTGCTGGGAGGTCACAATGTCCGGATTGTTCAGGATGACAGTCCCGGGAGAGCAGGGCTGAGGTCACATGTCCAGAGTTCTGAGCTGCCCAGAACCCGAAGACTTAGACACCAGATCCGTCAGTGTTTTATGGTGGGGCTTTCTCTATAAGTCTACTGACCCTGTTTTTTAAATGAAAAGTCAGGACACATGATAAATGTCTGTGCTTACGGAGGTTATGGTATCGGAATGTTTGAGACCAGGATGCCCTGGAAGATCTTGAATATAGGTTCACCTTAGTGCCAAGGATCCTGAAAGATCCCGTAAAATATTTCTCGTATTCTTTTTTTTTTAAAGATTTTATTTATTTATTTGACAGAGAGATAGAGAGAGAGCACAAGTAGGCAGAGAGGCAGGCAGAGGGAGAGGGAGAAGCAGACTCTCCACCGAGCAGGGAGCCCGACGTGGGGCTCGATTCCAGGACCCTGGGATCATGACCCGAGCTGAAGGCAGCCGCTTAACCGACTGAGCCACCCAGGTGCCCCTATTTCTCGTATTCTTAACAATCCTGCTCACTCTTTGTAAAATCAGAATTCTTTCCATTTTCTGGATGGGTAAAGAGCACAGTCGCTCAGAGCAGGGACTTTGGAACAAGAATCCCAGCCCCATTACTTACTAGCTCTAGAACTCTCTGTGTAGTCTCTCAGTTCCTCGGTGTCGTCGTGCGAGAGTAGGGACAATGCCTGCACCTTGTCTTATGTATTGTCATGAGGATTAAAGAGGCCACACATGCCTGGCATACAGTAAGAACCCAATAAATGATAGCTATTTGTGGTATAGTAGAAAGATGCTTATAGAAGTGAGATGTGAGGTGGTTAGCCTACGGAGGACAGGCTCACTGGTCACCACGGTAGCATCGGCAGCAGTGCAGGAGGTGGCTGGGTTTTCTGAGGCCATGTGGCTCCTGAAGAAGAGAAAAGGATTAAAAAAAAAATTTTTATTTCAGAAAATTCTAGGCATTTATTCAAGTAGAGAAACCAGTATAAAGAACCCCCAGGTGCCCATCACCTAACTTTAAAACTTATCAGCAATTTGATAAATCTTACTTCATGTATCTCCTCCCCACACCACTGCTAGCTCCCTACCATGAAGTGTTTTGTTTTTTTTTTAAAGATTTTATTTATTTATTTGACAGAGAGAGAGAGCGAGAGCAGGAACACAAGCAGGGGGAGCGGGAGAGGGAGAAGCAGGCTTCCTGCCGAGCAGGGAGCCCGATGTGGGACTTGATCCCAGGACCCTGGGACCATGACCTGAGCTGAAGGCAGACGCTTAACGACTGAGCCACCCAGGTACCCACCATGAAGTGTTTTAAAGCATATATTCCAGACGTTCTGTCATTTCACCTGTAAGTCATATGTATCTCTGACCGATCACTTTGTAAAAATATTATTAACCTAAACAATTAAAAGTCATTCCTTATAAATCACCTAATACTAGAGTAATTATATGTTATGGTTTGGGACAGACCAAATTTATGTTTGTTGCCAAGTGTCATTATTGTTAGCAGGGGGTTAGGGAGCATTTAAAGTCCTGGTGACGGATGTGTCTTCCAGCCCATCTCTCCTCTGTGTTCACTCTGCTGTGTCCTCTCTTTGTTTCTGCATTTTCTCATCCCCAACCTAGTTTGTCTTCTCTAAAATTTGTCCAGGAGACATCTGGGTCCATTTCCCTGACCGGGCATATTATAGGTGTCTACTTGATTTGTTCTGAATTTGTGTGATTGTTTCCCAGAGACGTGTGGCATTCTCCAGACGCTACAGCAGAATGTCTACCAACGTTTTGTTTGCATTTTAAAAATTAGAGCGAGAATCTGTTCCAAAAGAGGATGATTCGATGACAACTGACAGAATCCCAACTAAATAGAAAATTGCCAAGGAAAATCAAAGCATCACATTTTCATTCCATTTTTTCTCATCAAAAATCTATATAAGTGGGGGCACCTGGCTGGCTCAATCGGTGGAGCATGTGACTATTGATCTCAGGGTCTCAAGTTCAAGCCCCACATTGGGCATGGAGCCTACTTGAAAGGGAAGGAGAAGGAAAGAAGGTAAGGAAGGAAGGAAGGAAGGAAGGATGGATGGATGGATGGATTACTAAATAAATAAAATCTATATAGGTGTAGTAGAATCAGTACTAAACGGGAAACCACGGTTCTGCCTCCAGTTACCTATGTGATCTCAAATGAATCTGTCACTCACTTTAAGCCTCCCCTAAACATCCATCATCCCCCCCTTATCCCTGCCCCATAGCCTACCCCATTTCCCTGCTCCCATTTATCTGCATATTGATTAGCAATTGGGAGTACATGGTAATTTTGCAATTAGACTTTCCTAAGAGTTCCTTGGAAAACTCAAAGATCAAGGGATCTCTTTTATTTACCTTTGCATCTCCAGTGCCTAGAACAGCGTCTGGCATATAAATGTTTATTGAATGGATACATATTTGTTAAATGGATAATTGAATGAAAAACAAATGAGGCCCTACTTTCTACTGCTATAAAAATGAGACTAGGGGGATGCCTGCGTGGCTCAGTCGGTTAAGCGTCTGCCTTCAGGTCAAGTCATGATCCCAAGGTGTTGGGATCAAGTCCCACATCGGGCTCCCTGCTCAGCGGGGAGTCTGCTTCTCCCTCTGCCTGCCGCCCTCCCTGCTTGTGCTCACTCTCTGTTTCTCTCTCTCTGACAAATAAATAAATAAAATCTTTTTTAAAAAAAATGAGACTAGGTTCTCCTTACAGTTTCTCAGATTTTGTGATTCCCTGAGTTTGCTCAGCTAGCTTACGATGGAATGGGACGCACTGAGCCAAGAAAAGTGGCCGTGGCAATGACTCACTCACCTCCCCAGCCCTATTTTCTCCGCCCTCCTCCTCACACACTTACTGCTCTTCTCCTCTCCCTGTGGGCCGCTTCCCAGGCATCCCTGGAATAGCCAGAAGTTGACTCCATCATGGCGGAACTCAAGGTGGAGACCCATGCCGGCGTGGACTGGCAGAAGCGCTGCCTGGCCCTGGAAACCCAGCTCTTCCGGTTCCGCCTGCAGGCCAGCAAGATCAGGGAGCTGCTGGCCGACAAGGTAGGTCTTGGGGAGCTAACCAACCTCCCTGCAGAGGTCAACGTCAGACAGGGCCAGAGTGAGAGAGGGAGAGTTAGGGAAGGTGAACTTTCTGCTGCTGCTTTTTTTTTTTCCAAAAAAAAATTAATCCAAGTATATTTGACCTATAAAATTATATAATTTAAGGTATAGCACACATTAATTTGATGCATTTATATATTATAATATAGTTGCCTTTGTAGTAGTAATTAGCACTTCTATCCCATTACGTAATTGTCATTTCTTTTTAGTGGTTGTAATAATGAAGTTCCAGTTTCCTAGCAAGTTTGATGATTATAATGCAGCGTTATTGTCTATATTCACCATACTGTGTATTAGATCCCTAGGGCTTATTTGCTACTCATTGCAGGAAGGTGAACTTTTAATAAGATACTTTCCACACATGCAAAATGAAACCCAGGGTACTTTTTTTATTTTTAAGTCCAAAATCAAAACAGCTTACTAAGCTGTCATCTTGCATTCTTTCCTGCTCCAGAGAAATGATAGAAATCTTCTTGGTCCTCTGTTACCTCTTGGGTCAACTGTAGCTCTTATTCCCTTAATATTTCTTTTTTTAGTGTGGGGAAGGAAGATGTTTTAGGGGAGAAGAGGGGAAATTCCCATCCTGCTGTCACCGTCTATTAAGTATAGGAGCCTATGGAAGGCAGCCTGGTTTCCTGATGTTAAGGACACAGGTTTTGGGGCCAACTAGCTCTGCCACTTACTGGCTGTGTTACCTGGTGAGTCCCCTCACCTCTAAGGCAGGTACACAAATGTCTGCTTTTCAGTTATTTTGAGAATTATGTCAGGTCACATATATAAAGGTTCTGGCATGGAATATGGGAATGATTATTATCTTTATAGGCTTGGATGGGCTGGTCTGCGAAACTGACCACCATTTGTAATGTTTCTCTGGGAAGATGCATTCCAAACAGCTGACTTTCAGAAGCATTTTTGGAGCTTAACCTACCTGGAGAGTAGAGACCTATACTATATATGTATCTCAGTTGAATCAACTCTTTTCTTTCTAGTTTTGTTTGCATCATCCATCTGCTTACCCAACCCTTCTTTCATAGGACAAAAGTAAAATTCAGTCCACTCCTCTCCAAGTAATGTCAAAGTCTGGTTAGTAAAGCCTGAGGAAATGGCCTGTTTTATTGATAGCCCCACAACCTGGAGTCTAGGAAGACAAGTTATTGGTATTACCTCCTCACTTCCACTGCCGAGTTCAGGCCCTGGACCAGCCTGAATGCCAACTTTGGGTCTGTTGGCATTGCTGTCTCCTAGTTCAGGCTTCGTAAAACAGAGACCGGCAGGTTCCTGTGGTTGTGGTTCAGGTACTAAGAGAAAGGGTAGAATTCGGCCACCTTAGGAAAAGGAAAGCAGTCTTAGATAGTGGTTCTCAAAGGGTGGTCCTGGGGCCACCCATGCCAGAAACCTGGAGTGCTTATTAAGCATGTACATTTCTGGGCCCCACCCCAGTCCTCCTGGTCCAAGTCTCCTGGGGGTGCAGCTCATAATCTGCAGATTTAACAGGCTCCCAGAAATTAGTTTTGTACACTGTAAAGTTTGAGAACCTTGCCTTAGGATATGTTACTGGGGGAGGTGTGGGAAGGAAGGAAAGGATAAGTAAGGGTCTCCCAGCTGGTTTAAAACACATCTCAGAGGAAAGAAACTTCTGTTCCTAGTGATCAGAACCACAAAATAACCTTTTAAAAAAAGACCTCTATGAAACACCTAGAAATACTGGAATAAATATTTAAAATATCCTTCTCAGTGCAGAGCCATGCACTGAAGAAAACAGGAGGAGTCCTCAGGGGGCAAAACGAAGAGGAAAAACCTAAGTGGTACTCAACTCAAGCATCTCAGTGGGACAGGCTGTGTGACTGGCCTCCCTGTAGTGATGAGAGGTTTGAGGTTTAATCTGTGGAGACAGAGATGAGGTCTGGCCTGTTGGAAGCTGGAGCTGAAACTGAAACTTTCCTGTCAGGACTATCAAAGTACTTTACCGTAAATAAAAAGGTAGACAAGGAAAAGAAAATCATCTACCAACACAGGGAGATGACAGAACAGCTTCTCATGCTTAGCCAAGGCTCTGGGCAGAAAAAATAAAAGAAAGCCAAGAAAAGTACTCTCTGAGAGTCTGATGATGGTATTGGTATAGCATTAGAATTTATACTATTTGTGTGGATCGGGAACCCTAAGTTCTGGGCCAGTGATACCTCTCAGAGACCTTGTAGGAATAGACAGAGAACCTCTCTGGAGAAATAAGATCTCAACCCAGATCACATGGAATCCTCACATTATCCCATAGTAAACCCATAGTAAAGATGAATATATGATCCAAAACGACTAAATGCTTGAGAGAATGATCTGTCCTGAGTTAGAGTCCACATACACAACTAGATCCCACAAGAACTTCGAAAAAAGAACTGTTGGCAAGACACCGTAAAATAAATGAGTTCAAAATTATTGAAGATGTAATGAAGTAATTGAACATGTGAGACAAGAATAAGACACAATTCAAAAAGATCGGGTAGACTGGAAAAAGAACCAAATAGAACTGCTAGAAGCAAAATATGTCTTCATTGAAATTAAATGTTCAACAGATAGATTAAACATCGGATGAGGCACCATCGAGATGAGCTTAATGAGTGGAAAGATGGAAAGATGGGCCTGGGGAAACCGTCCCCGATACAGCACAGAGAGAGAAAGGCCCAGAGTCTGAGACATGGACACTAGGATGACAAGATCCTATAAGGTCCCAGAAGTGGAGGACAGGATGAAGGAGAGACATTACTCAGAGAGACAATGGTTTAAAAATTCCCAAACTTAATGAAAGTTGTGAAGCCTCACATTTGTGAAGCAGAATGAATCTAGGCAGTATACATTTCTTAAAAATCTGTGCTGACCGTATGAGCTAGATTATAGTTTGGCTGCCATAAGAAAGAACCCAAAAACACAATGGCTTAAAACTGGCAGTTGTTTATTTCCTTCTCATGTAACCTCTCAGACATAAGGGGTGTGTAGTCCTAGGGTGATGTCAGCTGCATGGTTGAAGAGGGTTCCCGTAATGGCCACATTCCACCCTTCCCTTTACCTGTGTGACCCAGGGGTTCCATTCATTGCTTCTTCTCACATTCCATTGACCAAAACTTATTCTCACGGTTGTTCCCAGCTGCAGGGAAGATTGGAAAGTGTGGTCTTTATTCTGGATAACGATGTGCTCAGTTAAAAGTTGGAGGCTTTGATTTGTGTGAGAGAGAAGGAGAGAACAGATACTGGGGAACAAGTAGCAGTCTTAAGCCTGGAATCTAAGTCTAGAATAATGATAATAAACAGAAACAGAGTATGTAACTTTCAGATCAGTAGAGTAGGGAAATGGAATAAAATCTATGAAATCTAGACCAGGAAGAAAAACAAGAATATTAAAAAAAAAAAAAAAAAGGAATAAATAGAAGGCACAAAATGCAATGGTAGAAATAGATCCAAATGTATCAGTCACAGGAGACATACATAAGAATGTCTTGTCACATACAAGAATGTAGCATTGCTATATGAAAAATTAGAAACATCCTAAATGTTTATCAACAGGGAAGTGGATAAACATGCTGAATATATTTGTACAGTGGAATACTACATTGCAGGTAAAAATGAATCAGGTGAGCTACATGTATAAATCTCAAAAACCATGGGCGCCTGGGTGGCTCAGTTGGTTAAGCGACTGCCTTTGGCTCAGGTCATGATCCTGGAGTCCAGGGATCGAGTCCCGCATCGGGCTCCCTGCTGGGCAGGGAGTCTGCTTCTCCCTCTGACCCTCCCCCATCTTGTGCTCTCTCTGTCATTCTCTCTCTCTCAAAAAAAAAAACCTTAAAAAAAAAAATCTTAAAAAAAAAAATCTCAAACACCAGCGCTGAACAAAAAATATCAGGAGGACATATAGAGAACAGTATGGTTTATATAAAGTTTAAAACCTACAGGACAGTCTATCTATCGATTAGGGGTGTAGGCAAATGAGGTAAAATGTAAACACAACCAAGTGTGGGGTAGATGCTAGAAGTGAAATTGTGGAGTAGACTGGGGCCTTCACCTCTCTGTAGTGGCCCATTTCTTAGAAGATGTTGGAAGCAGAGAGGACAGAAATTAAGATTTGGTAAAGCTGACTGGTGGATACATGTTTTAAAATATTATTCTCTAGGTGTTTTCTGAAATATTTCATAATAAAAAATGTCTTCAAGTGCCTTCCTCCCCTATTTCCCAGTGTCCTTAAACACATCAATAAACACACCTTCTCTCTCCACAGCCCCTTGGGTCTCAGTAGGTTGAATTTTTGTAGGATCGGCCCCATCTTCTCTTCCAGACTGCCTTTGATTGTCATGTAGCTGGAATGCCCTCCCATAAAAAGGTTGGGTGCTCAGAGTGTGACTTGGGTAAAGAAAGGGGAAGCAAAAAAAAAAAGGGGGGGAAGCATGTAGACATAGGGCAGAAGAGACTGGGGTGCAAAGGGAAGAGGGTAGAGAATAAAATCTTGACTAGGACTCACAGGCTGGAAGAATTAAGGAAGAGTACCAGGACATTAGCCCAACACAGAGCTCTTGGCAGGAAACTTTAAAAGCCATAAACACCATGTTGCTCAATGTCAGGGCTGCTCCTGTCACCTGCAATCATCCCCAAACCCACAGGACAGGTTCAACAGTTCACTTAGAGATTTTCCCCAGTACATCAAGGTAAGTTTCAGATCACGGGAAGAGATGACTCAGGTTTCTCAGGAGAGCTCGTGCTGGGGCCAAGCCCAGGTCCTGTCTCTGTTGCTGCTCCTAGAGCTTACTAGTTAATCATCACCAGTACCCTCCTACACGGGGTGAGCCAGGTCAGCTGGGTCCCTCTGAGCAGCCCTGTCGCTCGGCCGCCGACCCGTGCGGATTGCACTGCCCGGATGACTGATGGCCGCTCACTCACTGCTGGCTGTGATGCAGGGCAGG